TAAGTTGTTTACTTTCATTTGAAATTATGAGATTGAATTATTGTAGCTTTGTGATGAGACTTTAACTTACTTGTGAGATTGATGTATTTTAAGTTATTGATTATCTTGAATTTTTATTATTATTTCAACAAAATTAACGTTAAATAAAAGTTCAAAATTAACATTGAATTTTTATTTTTAATATTTCAATGACATTAAAATATAAACTTAAAATTATTCGTAATATAACTTTTTTAATTTTTTAAAAATATTATAAATATCCATGGATATCCTAGATATCCGTGGGTATTCAAGAAATTCATGAATACCCGCACGGATATGAGGTGAGTATGAGGCCAATTTTTATTCAGCGGGGCATGGGCGGGTTTACTATTACCCGTCCCCATGGGGCCCCATTGCCATCCCTATATATATATATATATATATATATATAAGGAGAGTTCAAACGACATCGGTGTAACTTTTACTATGTATTACACCGCTCAATAACTTTATATTAAATGCGAATTTTGTAAATTTAACCGTTAAATTGAAAGTTCATATCACTTTATATGTGTATATCAAATTTTGTTAAAATTGAACAACAATTTAAAGATGATCAAAATGTTCATATTTTAGTATATTTTGAAATGAATATATTACGTCAATTTTCATTTATAAGAATGAAGTATCAAATAATCTTGGATTAATATAAAATTTTGTATATATGATCTAAGTGATATGAACTTTCAATTTAACAGTTGGATTTACAAAATTCGCATTTAATATAAAGTTATTAAGCAGTGTAACACTTAGTAAAAGTCACACCGGTGTCATTTGAACCCTCCTATATATATATATATATATATATATATATATATATCAAAAGAAACGCATAAAAGTTTGATGATTCCATTTAATCCCAACTATAAAAGAAGATCAACTCCTTATGATAAAGAAAACCAATTTATAAAGTATGGAGAATGGGTGTAGAATAAGAAAGGAAACCCTCAGAACTCCCGTTCCTAGTTGACTCTTGGACCTCGGATTCATTCTTCAACTCCTTTGCTTTGTTCACCCCGTGTTTAGTTTCTGAGTTTTTCAAACTCTTAACTTCCAAGACCTACAAAACAAGGAACAACACATCTCTAATAAAAGTCAATAACTCTCAACAAAATAACTTAATTGCTAACAATAAGTGTTACTACCAAGATGAATAAAAGTACAGGATAAGTTAAAGATTTTTTTATTAAAACCATGATGAATAAGTGTTAACTTAAACATAAAATTCAGGTAAAATTCACACTTATCAATACATAATGAAAACCAAAAGTTTACCCAACAGTTTGTTGAGAAATCAATCCAAAATTTTCAATCATGAATGAAGAGTCATGAATGAAGAGTCGAATCATAAATGAAGAGTCATGAATAAAGAGTCTTAAACAAATAGTCATGAACAAAGAGTCATGCACAAAGAGCCATAAATGAAGAGTCATGCAAAAGAGTCATAAATGAAGAGTCGAATGGTCATATCACCCCTTATAAATAGAGAGTTGCGATGAGAGTAGACGCCAATGTAAAAGGTCATCGCTTCATTGTTTTATATTTATGTGTTATTTGTGTGTGTCCATATCTTTGATCTTCATTGTGTGAGAAGGGGATTTCTCCCCAACACAATTTTCATTATGCTTATAGTTTATTATTATTATTATTATTGAAACATCAATTGAATTTTATATGATGAATCTAATATTATAAGTTTCACATCTTGAATTAGTAAAAAAAATAATTCAAAATTATGTCACTAAATTGAAAATAATCATTATTTTAAAATAATCAAATAGATTCAAATATAAAAAATAAAAGATCAAAGTGAATATTTTAATAGATAAATGATTAAAAGTATGATCTAATTAGTCAATTATGGAGTTGTTGGTAAAATTTTACTCGAGCTCTCTCTCTCTATATATATATATATGTGTGTGTGAGTATATGTATGTATATATACACACACGTGTATAGTAAGTAAATATCAAAATAAAATGTATATTTTATATCCAAAATTTAAATATCATTCTCAATCATTTTTATATTTATTTCAATATTTTTTAATCACTTATCTTTTGAATATATAATTTTTTAAAATTTTTAATATGCTTTTAACCTCATATCTCATTAAGTATATCATTTTTTTAATGATTTCTTGTCAATATATTTTTAACCTCTTATATTTTTTAATATATTATTTTCTTATTTATTTTAATATATTTTTTTAAAAAATATTAATAGTTTAAAATAATTTTATATCACAATATAAATTATTTATTATAAATATAAAAGATAATTTATATGTTTAAAATTATTTATTTATTACAAATTTTAATTATTAATTAAAAATATTTATTTACAATATAGCTTTAATCTTTTGTTTACGGCATGTTTGATAAGTTGTTAACTTCGTATTACTTTATGTTATGATAATATGTAGAAGAAAGAAATCAAGAGAAAGAAGACAACACATAAATTACGTGGTTAAGTTCATGTGACCTATGTTCACAAATAGTTCAAGAGTTTTTTATTTTTAAATGAGTAGAGATATATGATATAAATACCTTTTAATCTTATAATAAGGATAAAATATATTAGTATCTTAATACTTCATTACAACCTAAATAAAAGATAAAATAGTAACAAATAAATAATGAATTCAAGGAATCTTAACACTTTAAAACTTATGTTTAGAATGAATTTTAATTGGCTAGTGTAAAAATATTATTTATATGAAACAAATTTTATACTTTTAAAATGTTATGAATAAGTTTGTGCTATAACTTAAGAAATTCACACCACATTAATAGCACAAACATGAGTTTTATTGGCCCAACTTTTTTTTAGGTTCGTTCCTGGAGTATCCACCGCCGACAGCAGTGACTAATCTCCTCGCTACGTTGGAGGCACCTCAAAGGGTGGGATAGCTGGCCCCAAGATTTAACGCGACTGCATACACAAGACAGGATTCAAACCCCTGACCTTGCTTAAGCGTGAATCAACCCCTACCGCTGAACCAGTCAAGTCACCAATTTGATAATTTTTTTATTTTGTTATTATTTGGTGAATACCGGTTTGATGTGTTATAGCACAATTTATATTAAAAATATTATTCTCAATATAAATTCTTAATTTATTTTTTAAATATATAGATAGAGCTGAATTTATATTCAAGAAATAAATTAAAAATTTATATTATTCTCAATATAAATTCTTAATTTATTCTTTAAATATATAGAGAGTTAAATTTATATTCAAAGAATAAATTAAGAATTTATATTATAAATTCTTAATTTATAACCACCTAATAATTTATGTAATAGAATCATGCCATTTCATTTACTAATTATGATTATTTTAAATTTTTAAAATCTGTATTTTGTCTCAACCTGTAGCCTTCCAGTATCCAGAGGTTGTGGCTCAATTGGGTCATAGTCTGCCTCACTGAACTCTATAGGTTCCTCTTCGGTGGGATGAAACCGACACCCCATAGGTAGGTAAATGTTTCAAATTTAGTGTGATGATACTATTTAAAATTAAAAAAATCACATTTTTTTATTATTTCAGATAATCATTATTTTATATTAATAGCTCATAAAAATAATCTATTTTAGAATAGATTGAAATAAGTAAAAGTTTTTTTTTATTATAAATAATAAATTGGACATATATGTTTAACTTGAGCCGTAGCAATATTGTTGCGGTGCCAGTCAGGGATGGGCATGGATCGGTTTTTTTAAAAAATCGATCCGAACCAATCCGATTCGCTTTTAAATGGATTGGTTTAGTAAATTTCGATCCGATTCAGTGTACTGATCCGATTTTGAACCGAACCTAATTAATGGATCAGTTTCAAACCAATTTCGATCCAGATTTATGGATTAATCCATTTTCAAAATGGATCAGATAAAAACCGGTTTAAAACCAGTTTTTTAAAACCAGTTTTTTAAAATAGATTTTTGAACCAGAATTTTTTAACCAATTTTTTGAACCAGTTTTTTAAAACAGGTTTTTGAACCAGATTTTTATAACCAATTTTTTGAACCAGTTTTTTGAAACCAGTTTTTTAAAACAGATTTTTGAACCAAATTTTTTAAACCAATTTTTTGAACCAGATTTTTTAACCAGTTTTTTAAAACATTTTTTTGAACCAGATTTTTTAACCAGTTTTTTAAAACAGATTTTTGAACCAAATTTTTTAAACCAATTTTTTGAACCAGATTTATTGACCAGTTTTTTAAAAACAGATTTTTTAAACCAATTTTTTGAACCAGATTTATTAACCAGTTTGAAAAGACTTCATTTTGATTACTGCAACATAATACATTCTTCAATCATGTGTGCATTCATTTCATTTGACGGCTTCCCAGAACCAACAAGATTGAGCAGCTGGAGAACAATTTTTGCTAGATAAATGATAAACTTCTTGAACTGAAAAGGAATCCACCGATTGCCTAGACCGTGAAATGTGCTTCTGCAATGTTGAAGCTAATTGCTGCACACCAGAAGTGTTTTGAAGGAAATAAACTATAACATGAAAAAATAAAGACATCCATGGAAACAACTCACACCACCTATTAAGAATTACAATATATATTTTAATTTTTAAAATAAACTTGAAAATATCCAATTCAAAATAAATCTTGTGAGAAGTTGACCTTTCTTTGCAAAAAGCTAAAAATATATGCATGAAACCAAAGCTACCAAAAGTTGCCAAAGTATTTTAGAAAGAAAGCAATTCAAATTCATTATGATGGAATCGGATACATTAATTGTTTCTATATAATACTAACATGTCTACCTTTTACTTTTAAGCAAACAAAGGTAATTGTAATTAATAGTCAGAAAAAATACAAGCTTAAGAAATTTCAACTGTTGGATTAGAACTGCAATCAATCCAGATAAATTCTAAATTGATGGAAACATAGGGATATGATGGAAACATAGGGATATGCTTTGATCCTATAGTTAATTAAGGGCTTGCAAATGTTACATGGATGTAATGCATATGACATCAGATGACACCTTACATAGTTTCAACAGACAAAGCTTATACTTTTATCACATTAGTATATTTGAAGAATGAAGAACCAACAAATTTGTAGGCCACTATACTGACCTGAGTATCACTAAAACTGGATAGGAGAATTCAACAGTCGTGATGATTACATGAAGTAGAACAACAACCTGCAATATTCAATTCAACATTCTCGTCATGTATGGAAATATAAAAAATTATGTGATAAAAAATATCTCGTTTTATATTATGAAACTATTGTTACTTGTCAAATAATCAAGGAATTAATATGGACACGGAACAGTTTTTTCATGCTTAATTGACAAGATCACTTACTGGTTCAGAAATACACTTTTGTTGTGCCAACCTTTCTACTATAAAGGCAGCAAGCGGAAATATGTTGAGACTAAAACTGCATACAAAGCATAGATATAATTTCAGAATATCAAATGACAATTTAAGAACTAATCTTATTTTTTAGAGGATTCATCAAACATACCAGCACATGAAGAGGGGCCAATCTCTCAACGATTTTGAATGAGTGAGGGGCCAATCTCTCAACGATTTTGAATGAGTCGAGTCATTGGTTTGATAATATTTTTATATTATTATTTGGTGAATCCCGGTTTGATGCATGCAAAAACCGCTAAGAGGTCGGCAAAATACACATCTCAGTTTTTGCATGCATGTGCGCTGCTCCGCTGGGACCCATAATGTAGACATAATTTTCTCCTTTGATATTAAAAATACAAATTTATTTTTTTATACACAAATTTATTCTTGGTATACACAATTCAGCTCTGTCTATATATTCATTTTCCTCCAAAGTGTGTGTGCTAACACATTATTTGTCAATCCTTCTTGCACGGCACTTTCCATGGATGCTTGGAAAAAAATTTCATTCTTCATGTCGACTGTTCTACTTTCCAGTCTTTCCTTCCAATTCCTGTCAGGTGACTATTTGATACTTGCATGTTATTATTGTTGTTCCAAAAATGGTTAAGGTCTTAAGAAGTGGAGTGTCTGTGTAGTGAATATTTAATTGTGTCGGAGTCTGGTTAGGAACATGTGTGGTGAATATTTAATTGTGTCGGAGTCTGGTTAGGAACATTCGACACAGCAGAAGCTGCAGCCATGGCTTATGATGAAAGCCTCCTTGCGTTTCAGAGGCAACAAAGCCAAACTCAACTTCCCTGAAAATGTTAGGCTCAGACAACCCAACCCACCAACCCTCTATGATCAGATTGTCATGTCTTCTCATAATATTCAATCTTCACCATTGCTTTCTTCTTCTTCTTCTTCTTTTTCTTCAACTATGACTTCTCCACAGGCACCACCTGTTCCTTCCATTCATTTACCGCCCTGGTCCTTCTTTTTTTTTTTTTTTTTTTTTTTTTTTTTTTTTTTCTTTCTAGTTGCCATGTTATTATTATTGTTCCAAAAATGGTTAAGGTCTTAAGAAGTGGAGTGTCTGTGTGGTGCTATTGAACAGGTTCGTGTTCGGTGACTTCGGTCACATTCACCATCACCAACAAGTGCCCCTACACTGTTTGGCCAGCCATTTTATCCAGCGCAGGACCCTCGCCGCTCTCCACCACCGGCTTCGCTCTACAATCTGGTGAGTCAACCGCCGTTGCGGTGCCAGCCGACTGGTCCGGCCGCCTGTGGGCGCTGAGTACCTTGTCCAGGTGAAACAAATCGTTGAAACCCTAGCTGCAATCGGGTCGCCGCTATCAGTTGAAGATCACATCGACGCAATCTTTGATGGTCTTGACGAAAACTATGATGGATTCATCACTTCGTGTATCACACGGACTGAAGCATACACTGTTGCTGAAATTGAAGCTCTACTGATGCATCAAGAAGAACGTCTTGAGAGGCATAAGAAACGTGAGACGCTCACTCCTCAGGCAAATATTGCTCAGTCTCAACCCAAGAAAGGTAATCTTGTGACCAATCGCTGGCGTGGACGTGGTCAGAATCGTGGAAGAGGCAGGTCTGGCCGCTCGAATCAACATAGCTTTGGTGGAGGTCGAGGGCAACGCATTCAATGTCAACTGTGTGGCAAATTGGGACATTCTGCCTATCATTGTTGGTCCCGTTTTGATGAAAATCTCCCAGACCCCAAGACCACTCAGCATAACACATCTGATGCTGTTATACAAGAACCTCTCCATCAAGCTATGACAGCAACCTCTGCAACTCAATCTTCTTTGGATGAAACTTGGTACCCGGATACAGGTGCATCAAATCATTTTACTAGTAACCTCTCGAATCTAATGATCAAAACTCCTTTTGTAGGAACAGAAAAGGTAGTAGTTGGTAATGGTAATTGCCTGCCTATCCACAATATTGGCACTTCTAAACTCAAAAATCCTTCCAACAATATTGCTTTTACTCTTAATAAGCTGTTGCATGTACCTGATATAACTAAAAATCTATTAAGTGTTGCTCAATTTGCCAAAGAAAACTCATGTTTCTTTGAATTTCATTCCACTGATTGTTTTGTTAAATCTCAGGGCTCTCGGAAGATTCTGCTACAAGGGAAACTTAAAAATGGTCTATATGCTTTTGAGAATCTACAAATTGTTCATCCTAATAATGATTTTCCTGTTTCAGCCTTATATTCATCTACCACATGTAATAGTTTACCCATATGGCACTCTAGGCTAGGCCATTGTGCAAACAAAATTGTCAAACATGTCTTAAAACAGTGTAATATCTCTGTACCACTACATGACAATGCTACAGTGTGTGGTTCTTGTTGCTTAGGCAAAATGCATAAATCTTCATTTTCTATTTCTGAATCTGTCTATACTGAGCCTTTGCAATTAGTCTATTCTGATATTTGGGGACCATCACCCATACCTTCAAAAGAAGGATATAGATATTATATTGTGTTTCTTGATGCATATTCGAAATTCTCTTGGGCTTACTTCTTAAAATACAGGTCTCAAGCACTAAACTCTTTTCTTGAATTTAAAAAGATGGCAGAGTTACAATTTCAAAAGAAATTGAAAATTCTCCAAACTGATGCTGCAAAAGAATATCAAAGTTTCAGTTCTGTCCTCAAAGAGAGTGGCATAATTCACAGATTCAGTTGTCCTCACACGCATGAGCAGAATGGTTCTCCTGAGAGGAAGCATCGTCACATTACTGAAACCGGTCTCACCTTACTAGCTGAATCTGGTTTGTCATTTGAGTATTGGTACCATGCGTTTGCCTGTGCTATCTTTGTTATAAATCGCATTCCTACACCTGTTTTGAAATTAAAATCTCCTTTTGAAACGGATGATGAACGGAAGGGTTCGGTAAATGCTGCATTCGAAAATTATGAGCAACAAGACAACCTATTGAAATCTTGGTTGCTTGAATCTATGGATTCACAATTTAAGATCCGCATGGTTGGGTGCGTATGGTCGCATCAAATCTGGCATGCCTTGAAAGTGTATTTCGCTTCTCAAACGCGAGCGCGTGTCAAGCAATTAAAGATTCAACTTCGCAACATCAAGAAAACTGGATCGATCGCTGAGTACCTTGTCCAGGTGAAACAAATCGTTGAAACCCTAGCTGCAATCGGATCGCCGTTATCAGTTGAAGATCACATAGACGCAATCTTTGATGGTCTTGACGAAGACTATGATGGATTCATCACTTCGTGTATCACACGGACTGAAGCATACACTGTTGCAGAAATTGAAGCTCTTCTGATGCATCAAGAAGAACGTCTTGAGAGGCATAAGAAACGTGAGTCGCTCACTCCTCAGGCAAATATTGCTCAGTCTCAACCCAAGAAAGGTAATCTTGTGACCAATCGCGGGCGTGGACGTGGTTAGAATCGTGGAAGAGGCAGGTCTGGCCGCTCGAATCAACATAGCTTTGGTGGAGGTCGAGGGCAACGAATTCAATGTCAACTGTGTGGCAAATTGGGACATTCTGCCTATCATTGCTGGTCTCGTTTTGATGAAAATCTCCCAGACCCCAAGACCACTCAGCATAACACATCTGATGCTGTTATACAAGAACCTCTCCATCAAGCTATGACAGCAACCTCTGCAACTCAATCTTCTTTGGATGAAACTTGGTACCCGGATACAGGTGCATCAAATCATTTTACTAGTAACCTCTCGAATCGTGATGTTAGAAGGTCCCACGCCACCTGTCTCAACTCTTGGGGTGCATATTATATATCTGTTAGGAAACTTCACTTAATGTCGATTACTGTTAAGATGAAATCTAACATGCTATCATAGCCTATAGCCCATCTCAGTAATTATCTATTTTGGTAGGCTCACCTGTTTTGGCAGACATCAATGGAGGGGGGTATTGGAAGGTCCTACATCGCCTACCTCAACTCTTGGGGTTCCCCTTATAATCTGCTGGGCAACTTCACTTAATGTCAATTGGTTTTAAGATGAAATCTAACGAGATAAATTCTTAGATGTATTTTTCACTTTTTGGGACATTCTGCCTATCATTGTTGGTCTCGTTTTGATGAAAATCTCCCAGACCCCAAGACCACTCAGCATAACACATCTGATGCTGTTATACAAGAACCTCTCCATCAAGCTATGACAGCAACCTCTGAAGAGGTAACTTGATAAGAAATTTTCGTAAAGTTTTGAATACAATGTAAGCGTTAGAAATTAATGGTGGAACAGTGTTGTCAAAGTTGGGTTTAAGATATGCAAGATTTGCATGTGGGGTTTAGAGTTTCCTCAAGACACATAGTGGTCTAGTTCTAGAGTTGGCATGATTTGTTGATAATTAAAATAATTTCATGCAGAAGGGTGAAGGCCGGGAATGAGAAAAGTCCGGCGGTGGGCAACAACAACATGATAGCCGCGGTGGCAGCAAGTGTTGCCTTACTCTGTAGCGTGATGGTATGCAGAATAACAATCTTGTTATCAAGAAGAGGTTGGAGCATCCGGGTGGTCGCCGGAACTAGAGCTCAAACAATCGACTCCAACAACCCCCAACCTGAACCACTCGCTGCTTAAATACTATGTCTTGTTATCATATATATCTTGTTATTTTCCCCATTCATATATATATTGTGGACTCTATGCTATTGTATGTACTTCGCTTCATAGAGAAGGAAGAATATTGTTCGTTGAATGCTGATAATTAAGTGATAAGTAAGAGAGAGAAAGGTGAATGTTATGTAAATTATTATGTTGTGTGAAATATATTTCTAAATAAAAAAGATTAAACAAGATAAAGATAATAATTAAGTGATGCCCCCATTTTTGCAAGGAATCATCACAGTGTCAATTCCTTTACTCCAAGTGTGAATTAATTTATATTTTGAATTTTATAGAATGTACTATTAATATTAATACTTTTACATAGTTATCTAATTAAAGGTTATTATGTAGATAAAATTGTTATATTTTTAATAATTGTTTTAAAAGTCTTATTTAAAACAATTTTTAATTATTTAATATTAAAAAACTATTTTAGTAGTGTATCAAAATTAAATTCTTTTAAATATAAATTTTAATTTAAATATTTTTAATATTTTTAAAATTAATTATACCAAAGTGCATCTTAAATC